TTGTAGCGCCCTCCGTCTGTTTCTGGCTAGTTGAAGTAGAAGTAGAAATGTCGTGATGCTATGTTCCCTGAATAAATTTTAAGTTTTGACCACGAAATATATGTCAGGGCAGTGATAGAAATTGTAAGACCAAGAACCTCAAACCACCCATGAGCTGTGACGGAGGGCGCCACAAACTGCTTCAACTGCTTGTGTCACGTGTCCATTAAGTCATGTACCGGAAGGAGGGGCTTGATTTCTAACTTGATAATGACCGGACAATAGGAAGTTGCATGAGTCTTATTATTTTCAATAATGGGTCGGAAGTATAAAATTATGCATTCTTGAAGGTATTTTGAACCACACAGTTTTTGTTTTTCTTTCCATAGAACCTTCCCCATGCGAGGAATTGACATTTACGACGGCCCGACCATATATAAAAGCTGCACGTTAAAGAAGTACGCCGCAGCTCCCGAGCACGACCGCTATAGTAGCGCCATCGGCTTCCGTCTCACAAACGACTGGCACATGACTCCGAAAAACAACGTTACGGACTTGAAGTTTGAAGATGTGAGCACACAAGTTTTCTACTGATTACTTTAAAAAGTATTGTTCTAGGTGGTTTAGTCGTGGGTTTGTGGGTTGAGCTCTGTCCTAATCGCTTCAGGTGCATGGACGGTGGGAGATGATTTTGACAGTTGATTGACAGGGGCCACGTGGAAAGGTTACTCAGTGGGAGTAAGGCCGTGTCTATACGGAATCACCCAAACCGCGATTCGGGTAACTCACATTCCTCACATCTGTGCCACACGCACCTGTGAAACCGTGTCCGAACATAATGCGCTTGAGCTACATTTATTGCTGTTTGATGATAACACGCAAGGCGGCGTGTTATTAATGTCAGAGGTCAACGACCTGCTTGCTGATGCCCCCCTCCCAGCGTATCTCGGCCGAATGCCGACGTGGTCCCGCCAGAGGCGGTGAAGCTCGCCCTAGAACGGACACATTATTTGACCATTACTGCTCTTTTAGTTGCTGCCATGTAAAACTTGGTATTGCATATAAAAAAAAGAAATATCACTCCGTAATCCATGACCAGGCGAAGTCACATTGAAATCACATTGCGTTCAGACGCAAATCGCGATGCGGGGAAACCGATTCGAAACCATCTCTAGAAGTGGCTTGGGATCGAGGCGCTTTCAATGTGATTTCGGAGCGTTCACATGGAGCCACTTGAAACCGGCTTCGGGGTAAACCACATGTAAACCGCCTTGGGTGATTCCGTTTAGACACGGCCTAAGTGGGTGGTATATGGAGGAATTCAGGAAGTAGCGTCTTGGCTATACGTCCTCGAAGGTCTGAAGGGAGTGGTGTAAACCCCGATTAAATTGCACCTTATAACCCCCCCCCACGCACACACAGTTCCAATACATTCACGAAAACCTACAAATCTTACTCAGAAGGCCTGTGAACTTGAAGGTCACGAAAAAATACTCCCGGAAATCCGTAATCTCCATTTAAAAAAAAAAACTTGTCTTATTTCTTACCACTTGCCGATCGTTTCTTAGGTAAAAACCCGCGTCTTCACTACTGGAGAAGACATTCCCTTCATGTCGACCGACAAGGATGGCGACAAGAACCAGATCTTTCACGACTTGGACGGGACCGTGACCGGCTACCCCGACACGTACGTGGTCAGACAGGACAACCACCTGGTCAGACACCCGGGCTGTGTGGACAAACCGGACTGGCGAGCAAGTATCTGCAGCGGGGAGTTTGCACAGGTGAGGGAGGATGCTATCATGCGGTTATGTAAGACGTACTTTTTAAAAAATCATTATTTTACACATTTTCTTGCGCTATGAGCCTACCTGGGTTCATAATGACATTGGAGAGTAAAAAGATCAACATCGTTGCGCCGAAAAAAGGTTGGAAAAACTGCCACCTCCTCTGCTCTAGTCGGGATCGCAGCCATTCTTTTAGGAGCCTTTTTTAACCTCGCGCTGAGCTGAGTCGCC